CATTTCTTCTATTGAAATTATTTGCTCCAAAAAATAATATAATTTTTTTATATGTAAAATATTTTGAAAAATATTAAATTAGGAATAAAAGTTTAAATGAGTAAGATAATTTTTTATGATTTGATTTTTAAATTATAACAATATTATTTTGTATGATATATTATTAATAAATATTTTATTATATAATATAATTTAATCGTACATAAAGAAGAGTTTATCATTTTATTTATATATATAAAAATTTTATGTAAAATATTAAATATACAAATATTTTAATTCATTTTTTTTAATATTTACAATGAAAAAAATAAATCATCAGGAATTATCTTTTAGATTTAAAATTTTCCTATATCCTAATCATTATATAAAATAATCTACATTACAGTATGTGTAAGTATTGAAATATAAATCTTAATTAAAAATTGAAGAAATATTTAAAATTATCATATTGAAATAATTAAAATTAAATATCAAAACATTTACGTAATTAAAATAGATTATAATGTTTCGAAGATATTTATTTCATATGAAAAAAAAATATATATATATATGTTTATATAAGTTTTTATAGCTGATAATTTCTTTTACCGAAAAAAAAGTTTAAAAATGATCATTTATGATTTCATCGGCTAGTAACTAATTTTTACTTATTGATCTTTAGCAGCATTTTCAATGAGTCATACTTAATAATTCTCTTAATCTCTTTAAGGGGATGGGCTTAAATAGATTTTCAAAGTTGCCAATTTTTACAAAAAAATTAACAGGAATTAAAATATTTAATTTTTTATTTTAATTATAAAAGATTTTTTTTTTCTTTCTTTTTCTTTATTATATTGTAATCATAAAATCTTATTGTAGTCATTTTAATCTTAATAAGATAGCATATAATCTGTTTCATAAAATCTAGAAATATATATATCATTGCTATATATATTTATTGTAATATATATTACATAGGCACTACTTTAAGTAAATTTATTTTCATATAACAAATGTTTTATAATTTTGTAAATATGCGTCATGCCGAACTGATAAGCATCAGGTTATTCTTGAAGATTCGTAATAGTGTCATTTTTATAATCTTTATTTCATCTTATCTTCATTTCTATTATCTAAACCATTAAAATTGCATTTATTTGACATAAATTTAATTGCATTTTTATATTGAAACAATATATTATCAATTTATTCTATATCAATTTGTTCAATTTATCTAACTGTATTATTTCAAACTTACATAAAATATTTATTATTTTATATTTCAATTTTTTTTTATTAGGAATGTAAATTAATAATAAAAAAAGACTCTTTAAAGCAAACAATTAAAATTCAAGCAATGTGATTTATCATAATAAATATCTAATTATTTACAATTGAAAATTATCATATACATACATATATATATAAACAATTATATCTTTTCCAGAATTTTTGTGAATTACTACTGACAAATTGTTAAGATTTTTTCAATCCATTTAGATATGAATTCATTCAAATTAATGTAAATATTTTATTCGTCTATGTATTTTGATATGTATCAAATTTTTCTGATTTTAATTCCAAGTCAATGATTAAATATCTTTTTAACATCTATTTTCTTGAAAGTCTTTATCTTTAACTATTAATAATTTAAAATTAAATTTAATAATTATAAATTTGCTATATATTTTCAAATAATTTCACTTTTTTTTAATTTATAGCAAATTTCTAGCTAATTTCTATTTTAATAATCTTTGACTACTTCAAAATGGAAACATCTTAACGTTTTTTTTTTCTTGACACATTATTTTCTTTTGGTTATATCTTCTTTTTCTGTATTATATATTATAATATAACAAGATGTAATCTAAGGACAAAATTGTTTTCATGTTATAGATTTATCATATACAACGATAAATTTCTAATAAATAATTTATTTTGATTAATTAAAATTTTAAATAATAAAAGTTCATAAGTACTTTGAAATTTGATAAATGCAATTAAAAATATCAAATTTTCTAAGATTTGTACAATATTAATTCAAAATATTTATGTTACTTAATTATTAATTTTAAAATCTAATTTCGCGCCCTTTTTGCACATTTATTATATTAAAATATCCAAAAACACTATAATTCATCATAACATAAAATTTTCAAATAAATACATAACAAAATAATATACTTAAGGTGAATGTATAATAAAGAAAAATATTTCGTCTCTGATTTGTGCTTATTCTTTATTTTGGAATCGATAACATTGGAAATAATGTTAAAGTTGTAAGGAAATCGTCACTGCTTAAACACGGAAAAATAATATATTGGATGGTAGATCTATTCTCTATCTCGTCTATGCTATAACTCGTTGGCGCGTTTCATCACAAATGTGAGATTTCTTTAAACATTAATATAATATTTTTATCGTAAGGAAAAATTTGTCAAAATGTTAGTATTATTTGAAACTCCTGCAGGATATGCTATTTTTAAGGTAAAGTATTCTAAAAAATATAATTTAATATTTAACCTAACCTAATGTGTTGCACGTGTTCGTAATAGGTTATTATAATTTTTATTATTATTTGAACAATTTGATATTTTGGAATTTTAAGTAATATCATATTAGTTTAAATATATTACATAAAATTATATTTGTTTCTTATAGTTACTTGATGAAAATAAGTTAACGGAAGTAGAAAATCTTTATCATGAATTTGAAACACCTGAAGCTGCTAGCAAAATGTATGTATAAATATTAAAAAAGTATTGATTATAATCATAATAATAAATTTATTATGCAAAATATATATTAACATATTACATTATAATAATTTTATTTTTATTTTTAACATTAAAAATTAATATTTATTAATTATATTTATTTTTTATATTACAGAGTTAAACTAAAACACTTTGAGAAGTTTGCAGATACTACTGAAGCTCTTGTAGCTACAACAGCTGCAGTAGAAGGAAAACTTTGTAAATCGTTGAAAAAAATACTTAAAAAACATTGCAATGAACTTCAAGAACAATTAGCTGTAGCAGATGCGAAACTGGGTAATGCCATAAAAGATAAACTAAGTTTATCTTGTGTCAGTAATACTGCTATACAAGAATTAATGAGATGCATAAGAAGCCAAATAGATAGTTTATTGGCTGGTTTACCTAAAAAAGAAATAACAGCAATGGCATTAGGTTTAGCACATAGTCTTTCTAGGTATAAATTGAAATTTTCACCTGATAAAATTGACACTATGATAATACAAGCTGTTTGTCTATTAGATGA